ATCTCCTCTACCTGTAAGTCTCTTTAATTTCTTTAGCTTGCTTACTTTTCGTTTCTTTTCTTTTCTTTTTCAGATTCCTTTTTTTTTTTTTTCAATATTTTTCTTGTTTATGGTTCCTTTTCATCAGAGCATTCCAGGGTATGATGTTGCTGGAGTGGTGGTGAAAGTGGGAAGCAAAGTGAAGAATTACAAGGAAGGAGATGAAGTGTATGGGTTCACTAATGCTCAGAAATCCTTTCAGCAACCAAATTTTCCTGGCACTTTAGCAGAGTACACTGCCATAGAAGAGAATCTGTTGGCTCGGAAGCCCAAAAACCTGAGTTTTGCTGAGGCTGCTGGGCTACCTTTAGCCATTGAGACTGCCTACGAAGGCCTTGAAAGAATTGAATTTTCTGCAGGAAAATCTCTTCTTGTTTTAGGAGGTGCTGGAGGGGTTGGCAGCTTGGTAATTCAGGTAAACGCTTCTTTTTAAGTACTCTAAAATCACTGTGCTTTAAAATTTTTATTATATGTTTAATTCCATGTATCTTGTTGTACCCTTTCTTTGGACCTGGACAATTTTCAGCTTGCCCAGCATGTTTTTGGGGCATCTAAGGTAGCAGCTACTTCAAGCACGGTTAAATTGGACGTACTGAAGAAATTGGGAGCTGATTTAGCAATTGATTACACCAAGGAGAACTTTGAAGATCTGCCTGAGAAATTTGATACAGTATATGATGCTGTTGGTAAGATTTTAAACCCAATTTGTTTTTTTCATTCTTATAAACTCTACCCCCCAAAAAAACAGAAGGAGAAAAACCTAGACATCTTTTGTTAAGTGATGGGTGTTGATCTTAGGCTTAACAATCTTCTTCACCCTTTCCTTTTTGGTGGAAAAAAAGGGCAAAGTGATAGGGCAGTGAAGGCAGTGAAAGAAGATGGGAGAGTTGTGACAATAATAGGCACTCCTACCCCACCAGCTCTCCTGTTCGTGGCCACTTCAGATGGATCTATTTTGGAGAAACTGAATCCCTACTTGGAGAGTGGAAAGATAAAGCCAGTGTTGGATCCAAAAGGTCCATTTCCATTTTCTCAAACTGTGGAAGCACTTTCATATGTTCAGACTGAAAGAGCTACTGGAAAAGTGGTCATATATCCAATCCCATGAAGAGAATTGATCAAATTTTCAGGAATATGCATGGACCCTCTGATGTCTATAGAGTCATCTGTATTTGCTGTTTTATGTCCATACTTGAACGTATTGTGCATTTTGCTTTTGTGATAAAGGGTGTTATCCATGTAATGTAATAAACCAATTAACTAAGTTTCGTCTCACAATCAAAACTGCTTTCTTTCGCTTTTATTTTATTTCATTGTTCTAATAATTCTTTAGATATAATGTATTTCAAATATAAAATTCTTTCCATCTAATAAAAGAGATTACACATTCAAACTTGTTTCTTTAACAATGAAATTATGATTATTTGTTTTATGCTAATTGAAATGTCCTTCTCATTTCCTTCTTACCCATCGTAATGGGGTACTTTCAAAAGTTTCACATGTTTGGCATTACTCTCAAGTATGATCCATTTGTTTTCTAGAAGTTATGGAATTTTCCTTTTAATAATTTTACTTTTTGGAAAACCAATGAATTCAAAATAAAAATCAAGAGTTGAAGATAATAACAAATGGTTTCTAGAGAAATTAAGTAGCTATTAACTCCACTAAACTCTTTTTGGTTTTTTTGTTTCTTACTATTCTCTTCTGTCTACTGATTGTGAACTTGTTCTTGGGGCCATTATGGGCCTTTGCAGTTGAAAGTGTTTGTCATTGCAATATGGATCGGGCCTACTTTTATTGTGGGCTTTTTCTCTCCTTTCTCTTCTCCAAGCCTTTTTTTTTTTTTTTTGCGCTATTGAAAAGAGTAGGATGGCACCCACCCATTTCCGGCGAACTTACGACGGTTGATCCCGGCGAATTTCTTCGGTTCCTGCATGTTGATGGCAGAGTTTGCATTGCTTCAAAAAATTAACCGAAGAAAATCAACATGACCGTGACCGGCGTTACGTGAATCATCAATCAAATTATTCAGCATGGGCCGCAGAACAGATAATGCTAGCTGGGGAAGAAAGGGACAATCATTTTTCGACAGCATACCACCAAGAATTGATGGTCAGGTAGACTTCTGACGATCAGAATTCCTACTCCAAAAATCCTATCTGAGTGTGAGCATCTTGCTTTCTTGTTTCTTCTTCTTCTTCTTCTTCTTCTTTTTCTTCCTGATCCTTGTTCTACTTCTCCTTTTTGAATGGTTATAGGGCTTGTTGCTGGTAACTAACATTCCTGTTAAGTTTAAACGGTCCTCCTCCTTGGCACCAGATGCGTGCTTTGTATCAAGTTTTCATATTTCTTTAATTTGTTAATTTCATAAATATTACACGATTCTGTAACTCTAGAAATTAAGCCCGGATTTCATCAAAAAGATATGATTTTGTGAAGTTTCCCCCATAGTCAAGTAAAGAACATTCATGATCATGAATTGAATGCATTACTGATATTTTTTGGACAAGTTTCCTTTATTTGATTTTGATTCACCACTTATTGATAATTATATTATAGCATCCTAGAATTTGGTTTACTAAACCAAATTCTTAACTACCTAGAATAATCTTATGGAAATGACAAATATAGTTCCCCTCCACGAATATTAAACACCTAGAATAATCTTATTGATGTTGTTTAGTGATCTTGGAACGGAGTCTTTATTGCAAATGTTTCCCAATTCCCCTCTACGTTTGCCATCAATGGTCATGGAGAGTCCAAACACCAGCAGTAGTAGTCGGACCTTGAAATTGCCAGCAGTTCCTCTGGGGTCATTCTCTCTAGTTCATTTTTCCTCCATGACGCAAAGTTATTTCGATTTTGTGGGTCTGAAGCTAGAGGGTAATCTTCTAACTTGTGAACCTGAGACCTCATCCTCATGTAAAGCCTCATTGTTGCAACACAGTCCTCATATGGGTCTTGAATGCCGGTTTGTATGTCATACCTTTATACAGAAAGTTGAATTAGTCTCTTGGTTTACATGAATATGGTGGAAGGAAGATGATTTGTAGATATACTTACCCAAGGTATGCTTGAGTTAAGTACTTGAGTGAATTGCTGAGTTTGCTTGTTTTCATCAGAGGCGGATATTTTGCAGTATCCCTGTAAAATTGATTCAAGCTCCTAGGAATTAGAATTTCTAGAAAGAGAGAGAGGAGATCAGTCTCCAATTCATCTAGTTTTCTTTATGAGCTTTTACCTTATCATGACTGCTGGATATTCTACTTGCAGACGGTCAAGATCATGATCAAGGCCATGACCCACAAGAATCCTGGCTCTTCCACCTTTAGTTCGAATCTTCCACATGGATTCCCCATTGCACAGGAAGTCTTGAATCTTCTTTTGCACTTGCTTCAGCGGCATTGCATCCTTAAGGTATTCAGGACGAATACCAGTGGTTTCATATCTGAAAAAGGTACAACACAAAAAGTGAAGTTGGTTGATTTTAGTCTTTTTTTGTTGGATTTATTAGCAGATCTGCTTATGATAATCTTTACCTGTAGTTTGTGACAGGCAAGGGTGGTTTGACATAAGTATGGAAGATCATATTCTCATTTTCATCAATGAGACAAACCCTAGCACAAAGATTTAAGGAGCCATCACTGCCACCTCCAACCATTTTGCAAGCTAGGGCAACTACTTGTGGACCTCTCACTGAACCATTGTCAATGGTCAGGTTGTCACGGATGCCTAGGTTAGCCAGGCGAGCAACTATTCCCTGCAAGTATGGATAGAACGTGACTATATAGAACTCTGGGGCTCAATCTGATATGATGAGAAGAAAATGATGAACTTGTAGTTGAAATCTAATGACCAATACAGCATTTGCTCCAGAGAACTGGCATCTTTCTTGATGAATCCAGCGACTATTAGGACTATCCAGAACGGCTAGACAGAACTTGCATCCTCTGACACTGAATATGTTCTTGCACTCTTGTTTTGGCAATGGCCCTGTTCAGAAGCAAAGTTGTTCTTGTTCTTCACAGCCTGGGCCAACAGAATCTTGGATTGGAAAGTCATAGAACAAATGAAAAAGCTTATTACCTATAAGATGTTCTCTTAGTGACTCAAAAGATCTGCAGTGTTTCCGACATATTCCACACATGGGTTCATGAACTGAATGATATGAAGTTCGCATGTGCTCCACCAGGTGCTCCATTCTGTTGAACTGCCTGAAGCATGCTGCACACTTATTCCTATAGATGATGAAGTGTTAATTAGTACTGAAAGCTAATTTTAAAGCTAATCTTTTTTTTTTTTTTTTTATGTTTGCGACTCCGCGTGAGAGACAAGATACTTAGGGTTTCTGCAGTCTCCATGCTGCTGCTGCTGTTGATGATTGATTGTTGTATCAATACAATAGCTAAGGAGGAGGTATAGGAGGGTCTGAGGAAGAAGAGGGCATGGGAGGAGAAGATTTATATAGCAAGTAAGGAAAATAATTGCACCCCACTTGAGCGTAAGATGACACATCGAGAATTTTCTAGTTTCTGTTTTTGCTCTATCATCCGGTAACACTTAGACTACACTATCTTCCTAAGGCAGATGCTTAGGGGCCCACTGATCAACCAGAATATTTTCATGCTGCCCCAGTCTGTCATTATGCTAAGATGAACAAAGCTGGAGGCGATTCAAGGTTTCTTTATGAAACATCTCGTATATTTCTGGTACCTCCTTTTCTGTTTGTGCTTATTGATCTGAATCTTCTGGCTTTAAATCATCCAATCTTATCTACCATGTTGTTTTCATAATCAATCTTCTGCAGTTGAAATATCATCAGGCTGTATAATTAATCTTTTGCATTTGCAATGACATCAGGGAAAAAAAATATTCTTTTTCTTATTTAATTACTTTGGCTGGCTATCTTTCCTTTTTCTTTTTGATTTCTCTGTTTCACTCTTCTTTTTTTATATCTCTACAATAATCAGATTGTATGAACTCATTGAACTGTTGTAGAGATCAAGCAGCAAGCAACTTTCTACTTTGTGCGGGGAGGATAGAAAGAAGGAGACTGACAAAAGCATATGTGTTGTGTAGATAAGGCTGGATATTAGTGGTTAGCTAACTCGGTCTCCAGGCAACCATGCATGCAGTTGTTTCCCATCTCTCTGTGACTTAGAGATTTGACTTTGGAGGATATTTTAAACATGGGGAATGTCTGCAATGCAAAGACTACCCTTTTGACTCGTAATGCGGTTCCATTTATGGTAGATTCTCTTTCGCTGCTTTAGTTAGGCCCCCGAGAAAAATTAAGGCAAAAGGTGCAGATCACCCCCTAAACTCAACAACTGGTGGCAAATCACCCCCTCAACCCATTTCACGCGCAAATCAACCCCTCAACTCACCTGCAGTGGCAAATCAGCCCCTCTCTTAATCCTTCTGTTAACATTTAACAGTCTACTCATCAGCCCTTCCTCTGTGTCTGACGTGACCTTCTTTTTGCTGAGATGGATGCTAAGGTGGAGGCACAGCTGGACAAATACCTCAAAATCAGCTGATTACACAAATTACTTTTATACCTTTAAATTGTTTAGGGAATAAAATTGGAGATTTGTTTTTCTGCCAGGATCTGGTCAAAGGAGGTACTGGGGCAGATGTTTTTTCATATGGGTCTGAAACATGCTTTTCCAGTTTTTCCAGTGAACCAAACAAGGCTTAATTAATCAAAAGGAGCACAAAAAACAGAGATTAATTACTTACTTTGCTCTTGAATTGAAGAAGCTGAAGATGGGTCTTGTCCATCGAGATAGAGGAAAAGTGCTTGATCCAATTCTCCCAAATCATAAGCTCCGCTATCTTTGCTTATGCTTAATTAAAAACAAAACAAAACAAAAAATTTAAGAAAATTCCAAAACATTTGTATCCTTTGGTGAGCTACATTCAAGAAGTTTCTAGCTTCCGAATTTTACATGAAGTTTCCAGATGGGGGGATTGAGGATGATGATGGAGATGATGGAAATATGGCATAAGGAATCTGATGATGGTTATGCTCTTGTATCTGATGATGCTGATGTTGTTGATGCTCAAGTTGGCTCGAGTTGTTTCTACCAGTTGCCATGGAAGAAACCTGAACTAAAACTCACTTAAGGGACTTGGTTGTTCAATCTTTTCTTCAACAAAATTTCAGTAGCTCTTCAATACACTTCTGTTAATGGCGAAACCACCTCCCTTCTTTTATGATTTACTCCTAAATCACTTTTGATGTCTATTAAAAAAAGCAGACCTGAGTCAGTTATAAAATGATGAAGAAGAGGATAGAAAGAGAAAGAAAAGAGGAATTAATAGATGGAATCCAAAGGAAACAAAAAGACAAAAAGTCTCCAAAAACCGGCGAAAGAGGGTGCATCGCTTGCACTTCCGGACCAGGGTCAGTGCGCGCTCAAGGCTTTTGGAGACTTCAGTGACTATGCGGACGATTGGCCGGTCGTATAAGGGCGGAGAAGCAGCGAAGATGCAGCCGACCAGATCATGAAGCATCGGCCTCAAGCAACCCACTAAATTCCCAACGTGGACGCACTCCATCTCGAACAAGTTAGACTCTGCAACTGCTGAGTTAACTCTTCTTCCAACTCGTTCAACCATCAAAATCTTTTCCAACACCACCATCTCCTCCTCCTCTAGGTTTACCTGTATCACCAGATTTGTAATCTGCTGATTTTGAGGTATTTGTCCAGCTGTGCCTCCACCTCAGCATCCATCTCAGCAAAAAGAAGGTAACGTCAGACACAGAAGAAGGGCTGATGAGCAACTGTTAAATGTTAACGGAAGGGTTAAGAGAGGGGCTGATTTGCCACTGCAGGTGAGTTGAGGGGTTGATTTGCGCGTGAAGTGGGTTGAGGGGGTGATTTGCCACGGGTTGTTGAGTTTAGGGGGTGATCTGCACCTTTTGCCAAAAATTAAAGTTGTTCGTTAAAAGACAAGTTTTCCTTTTTCAAATATTCGGTCTAGCTAGTGATTCTCTTTAGCTTATGATCGTCAATATTTTTGTTAAAATTATTAATTTTATTTGTAATTTCATTTATTTATAACTTTTTAAATAATTATTTATAATATTTAAAAACATATATTTACAAAATAATTTTAATTTAATAAATAATAATATTAATTACAAATTATTTTTAATAATTAAATTAAATTAAAAGTTTAACAAATTTTAATAATTCTGATAAAATTAATAGCAATCATAAGTATAGTTGGTGATTTTGGTTTACAAATGTGAAGTGCCCATGCATGGTTCCATGGCGATCACGGGGTCCCCTTTTTCAGAAGTCAAACAAGAACCTCAAAATTATTAGCCACCAATGGGAGTCTCTCTTAAAGGCTTGACTCTTTATAAAGTCCTTAATGTAAAATTGCTGTCTTAGTAGAGCGTTTATTAAGGTGTTGTCTGAGCAACGGGTTTGCAAAAGCATTGAATCATGGACTGATACAAATTATTAAATTCAAAGGCTTAGCAACATTACTTTATAAATTACAAGTTTGAAAAGTGAGAATCATATTTTTTTTTTTACTAAATTCCTGACATTTAAAAATCATATTAAGTATCGCTTAATATAAAGTTAGAATAAGTCAAATCTTATGAAAGAAGAAATGAAAATCACTTTCTAATAATTATATTTAACAAATCTCTTTGAAAATTAAATCAAATAGTTATTAAGTAAAAATTTTAAAATGGCCAAAGGTTATACATGTAATGTAACTTATTCGTATATATACAAAGATGTAAAAACATTAATAATAATAAAAAAAAGACTAGTAGAGGTGTGAATGGTGATATAAGATGATGGGGGTCCATACCATTTGGTATGGTATGGCAAAAAAAATATTTTTGACCACTCAGAAAAAGGAACCTTTTAAAAAGATAAAAGATGCTCCTTTGACCGAGAAAAACTTTTTATTTTGTTCTCATCTCTTTTTTTCCCTACCTTTTATTTTCTTTTTCTCAATCTCTAACATAAATATAGGCAGATGCAAATGCAAAAGCGAAACCTAAATCATCCGTTGGTCCAGAAATAAAACAAAACAAACTCAACTATTTCATTCCTATTCTTTAACCTGCTGGCAAAATCTATCCTAACCCATTAGCCCAACTTCAACCTAACATATAACAAGCGGGTTAGGGTGAATTACTATTAGGCCCGTGACTTGTTTGGATCAACTTGAATAGG